GGCTTCAAAATCTCAATATGACTGATACTGCAGTTGATGCAAAGCTGGACACGGAATTTGCAGAATGGTTCAAATATTATGTAAGTTATGTAGTTACTTTCAATGTACACAACATGGAATGTACATTTATTAAATCTCACTCATGTCATTACTATTTCCCATAGGCTCGAAGCTCGGGAATCAATATTCATAACAGATTTATTACGGATCTGGCAAAGGAGCCATTACCGGTTGCTAATGCCTACTCTGGCTACTTTGTAAATGGTTATAAGTTTCACAATGAGGGCTATGGGAGAAGTAGAAAGATAATGAACAGCGGTGTGTGCATAAAGGAATCAAACTACAGTGACGTGTCAAACGATTTTTATGGGAAATTGGTTGAGGTTTTGGAGTTAGAATATCCAGGCCTACCAATGAAGTGTTTCAGGATGATTTAGAATGTGAATGGTTTGATCCTACGCCAAACATTGGCACGAAGGTTCATCCTAAGTATAATCTGGTTGATATTAATCAAAGAAGAAGATATACAACGTATGAACCTTTTGTTTTGGCAATGCAAGCTGCACAAGTGTACTATGTCCCATATCCATCGTTTAAACGAGATAGATGCGATTGGATGGCAGTGTGTGATTGGATGGTAGTGTGCAAAATCAAGGCTAGATCAGTTGTTCATGCACTTGAAACGAAACAATCTTCTTCACTCGCAGTATCGGAGGCATTTCAAGAAGTTAAGGTTGAAACGCAACCGATGCAAGTTGTTGAAGATTTAACAGATAGATTAGATGATGAAAGCCGATCTTATGTTGAAATAGGACCATCAAATGATGAAGAGGAAGAAGATCAAATCATCATGGGTACCTCAGAAGACGAATATGAAGAAGAGGAAGCTGATGAAGAGGAGGAGGAAGCAGATATTCAAGACACTTAAAACTTAGAGCAATTTTACTGTTACAAATTGATAAATGTATATGTAATTAATATTAATATTATTAATGAAGAATTTCAATGGTATTAACTTTTCTTTACTCATATTTTACCACATGTTCCTACAATTCATATAATTGTATAAATTCATTTTAATCTAGGTTCTGATATCTGCAGTACAGAATGGCTAAGCGCATAAAAGACCGTTTGATTCTGACGCGTCCGGCAGTGGGTTTCCGCGTGAGGTCAATGGCCCTGGACGCAGTGGCCCGTGGACCGAGGAGGGTCGATCCCTCGTCCTTCGTCAGGTAACATTCTGGGGCTTCGTCATCTGCTCAGCGACCAGTATAAGCCATCCTCCCTCTTCAGGTACGTCTGGGCTTAATCCTCCCTGCTCAGCGTCCAGTACTGCCCGCCATACACAGCCTTCTGCCCTTCCTCTTCTGTCCTTCCTCTTCTGGACCAGTACAAACTCCCACCAGTGCACAGTCGCCTATTGTGGCAAGGTAATCATAAATGTCATAACTGTCATTGAATTATATATTAAACTATCTAAAAATTTATAACATTTGTCATTTTCTTTTGCCGCTTCATCAGATCCACGTATCACTCAGTTTGGTAGCGGGACAGTAAGTAGCTTATTCAACATTTTTCTGCAGGCATATTGTAATTATATTTTTGTAATTATTCATAAACTGTATGTTTTCGTGTAATTAATAATTTCACTTCTTCTGTTTTTTTCAAGCACATATATCCATCTTCTCGAGCAGCGAGGCAAATTTTGAGGATAATCAAGCTCCAGCTGCATAAAGAAGGATACACATGGGATGCCGTACCATAAGAGATGAGAGACTTTTATTGGGAGGAGTTTCAGGTACTCTTTGGTTTAAATTCTATCATCATTCAATGTTTACAATTCAAGATACATCCTTAGTATTGAAATGCTATATTTCATTTTTTGCAGAAACATTTCATATGGGTGTGAACACCCAAATTTTGAGGCTCAAAAAGCCTGTTTTCTCGGATTGCAAATAGTCCGGCCGGACCAAAGGCCATCTTGGAAGTTTACCGAAAGTATGCCAATATGGTACTTGAAATGTCCGGAAAATTATGAGGATCACAGAACTGGTCCCGGAATATTTTTTGGGAGGAGTTCCTGCATTCAAGAGAAAGCGGAGAATATTTTTGGCCAACAAAACAGCCGCAAGTGAGACTGGCAATGATGGAGCAGTTTACCTTCGCGAACACAAGCGGATCTATACTGCTATAGAGACAGCTGATTATTAGTAAGTGAATCTAGTTCCCTTTTACAAGAAAACTGAATGTTTAATGAAAGGACACTATAATATATTTAATATATCATGCATTAAAAAATTCAATTACACGGCTAAAGAATTAAGGTCGTGAGCCCACACAGATGGAGGTGTTACATACACTCCACAACGAAGGACCACGATCGTAATACCTTTCGTGCGACAGAGTGCGCTGAGCGTCATGTAATAACTGAATAATATTTACATTTTACCCCTCTATATCATTGGGCAGAAGATGTAACAAAGTGTGAATATAATAAAGCCTTGCATTGCATTGATTAATTAAATTTTTTGTTTTCAGGAGAATTAATACTCCAGCTCGGGAGCGTATTGTTACTTCTCAGACGGATGAAATCCGAAGCTGAGTCAAGAATTGACGAGGTAGCGCTTTAATCTCGAGGCTGTAGGGCGAGAGAGAGGAGGTATACGGCATCGGGTCCTCAGGCATCACAGTTTTACCACTGGCTCGCAGCTTCACGCTTCTAACAGCCAGCGCAGCATGACAGCCGGACACACTGACTCGCACTATGATGATGAAATATGGGCTCAGCTGCTGATCAAGCAGAGAACAGATTGCAGAGCTTTAGAGCCCGCATGTGAATGCGGGCTTGTCTGGTGAGCACCGTGCTGGTACTTTTTTCCCTCTGATCCTGCCCTGCTACAGAACCGACATGTTTCGACCGGTCTCAGCAGCCAGCCACTATCGGCCCTGATCCAATGCGCGACGATTACCTTGGTCCACCCCCCTGGCGCTACATCACATCCAGCAGGTACTTCCTCCCGGCGATCCGACATCGGAGATCCGAAATTGATCCTGCAGATGAGCAGCAGCTTATAAGATTGAAAATTTTGGACCTTTTTAGTTTTTCATTTGTATTATTTCATATTTCATTTGTTAGAACAATAAAAATTACATTTTTATACTGTTCTTGAATTGCGTGTGTGATATATATGCATTTAATGTCATTTTTCACAGGTGCCAGAAAAATTTTGGTTTCAAATAATAATTTATTTTTTTTTTGCAAATTTTGCGGACCCGATTTGATACCAAAAATACAAATTTTGAATTAACAATTTGCGACCCATTTGCGACCGATTTCAAAAAATTGCGACCGATTTTCTGCGACCAAATTTGCGACTGAATTTCCAATTAAACCACAACCAAAAATTGCGACCAATTATTCAATTTTGCGACTGATTTTATCGGTCGCCAATTTGCGACCAGTATTTTTAGGACTGACATGCTTCGGTCACAGATCGGTCGCTAAATGAAATTAGTGATCGATTTTTGCCATTTTGCGATCGATTTGTCGATCGCAAAATGGCGTTTTTTTTGTAGTGTGTGTTTTCGGGGGAGGGGTTCACACCTGGATGCTTGGTACCAGACTGCTACACTCGGAGCTCAGGTAGTCCGCTCCTTACTCGGTGTGACTACCCAGACCAGATACACCGCCAGGGATGCGTGTCATATGAGGTTGTCTACCGATTTTGGGCCGAGAGGATCAGGACGAGGCTAGCGGCTTGGAGGGAGTTGCCCGTGGAGGCCCGACCTGCTGCCCCTACTTATACTCGGGAGGAGAGGGACCAGGCCGCTCGGTCCTCCCTCTTCTATATTATCTCATCTCAGCTACTATGCACCTCCCAGAATAAGGGAGATCCGACGGTGCTGGTATGCTTGAGGGACTTGGGCCAGGTCGGGTCCTTCGACGGGGCCACTCTAGCTTTGGCTCATCTCTATCACGGTCTGGATGTATGGACCCGTGGTAGCGGTGAGTCAAACTGGCAGTTCATCCGGCCACTCCTTGATTAAAGCACTAAAATGCAATCAAAAGAGAGAGAGAGTTTTTTATGACTAAAATACCCTAAAACACAAAATCTTTCTCAGCCTTCCCTTCTTCTTCTTTGGTTTTTCACATTCTTCAGTCTTCCTTTCAATAAAACACCCAATCTTTCTATTCACAACAGAGCAACTTCAAGATTTAATTATTTTATTAAACTACGAAGTCTTTTAATTGATCATGAGAACTCTAGATTTGCAAGATGGGGCTGTTGAAATTGAAGTCGTTGAAATCTGCATCATAATCAAGAACACCCAGAACAATAACAAGAAGATGGTAAGCAAGAAAGAAAATCAATTACTTCATCGCTAGTACCATAAGTGGATTTAGAAAAGAAAAAGTTGAAAGAAGCTGCAAGAGTTATTTTCATTTCTCAAAAGATTATTCATTCAATTCTAAAATGATTTGAACAACACAGATTTGCAGCGAAAGGGGAAAATAAAAACTTATTTCAGTAATTTATTCATCAAATTTGCTTATTAGAAATGTTTCAACGGAGACCCATGAGTTGAATGATTAAAACAAACCTGCATATCTAAGGAAACCAGTTAATTTTTAAGATCTACGAGACTGCAACTCAAAAACGAGTATTGATGGACAACTAAATATGAGACTTGTTCCTTAATTATTTTATTATAATTAATTTACACTTAATATAATGGATCAAATGCTTAATTTACTGAGGAATTAAATTAATTTAACATTACACTAAAAACTCATTTACTTAACCTACGGATTATGGCACAGTTGGTAACGCAAGCTGAACATGTGGGAAGAGTTCTTAGATTCGATCCTCACTAAATGCACATGCAGAGAGGGGCGAGGAGACTTAACTGTAATTAAGCTCCGAGTCGAATTAGGTGGAGATATCGTGGTTTAAAAAAAATATCTAGAAAATCATTTTAATTAGAATTGAAACTAAACATAAATTAACTTATATTTCATATTTTCATTTATTAACACAAACTACATTGGCAAAAGTGAAAAAAAAAATATACAAACAATCATAATATATAAAAAATAATTCCTTACTGGCTAGGATTTATAGAATCATTAGTAAAACCCTTAACATCTCCAACAGCAGACTGTGAAGACACAACAACACCTTCTTCCATTTTCTTCCACCCATCTGCAACCCTATTCTCTCCTGACTCCTTAGCAATGTCATAAGAGGCATGTAATCCAAATAACAAATAATATATCAACAAAACGCCAGTCCATACACCAAACCTAGCAAACGACAAACCGTCTATAGACCCTAGAAGAAAAATATTAATAAGAATTGAAGCAGAAGGCAACCATGGCACAAATGGAACACCCCATAGTTTTGGATCCTTGGCTTGTGGAACAAAAATCTTAAGCCCTAAAGTAGCCAAAAACCAAATGGGTATAGTAATAACATATCCAATCCAACCATCTCCATTTTCAGCCCAGATAATAGCAGTAGCAATAGAAGAAGCAAGAATTAATAATATACATACCACTAGCTTAACTCGATTTACAGGCGCAGTGACTCCAGTAACATAGTAACGACGAACAAGAAGAGCAACAGCCACCAGAGTGAAAATAAACAAGGTAGAAATAGAGAGAAGATTAGCTAAAATATCCATTTTAGTAAAGAAAGCAACAATGGCGGTTGCTGTAATCATCACAATAGTAGCATTTACTGGTGTTCCTGTTAAGATTAGCTAAAATATCCATTTTAGATAAAGAAAGCAACAATGGCGGTTGCTGTAATCATCACAAATAGTTAGCATTTACTGGATCTGTTTCCTTGTTCTTTCCATTAACATGAGCTAACCATGTCAGGCCATCATTGGGTTTCTGAAGAAATATGAGTTAGATACGAGCTTGGACCAACAGCTCCGACAAGAAAGCAGTAGGTCGATACCTGTTAAGGCACCAAGAGCGAGCTATATATTTATGCCCCCAACTCAACCCCACATATTCAAATGCCACAGGAAAATGCAGCGTCAGGATCAAGCTGTTTGTATGGAACCATTTAAGCATAATGTGGCAGCTAATAGGACAAATTATGCTACGCGATTACCTGTCATCGATCCCACTATTCCTATAGAATATCGCGAGCTGGGTTTTTAGTTTTCTATCTGCCATTGTTGCAATTCATCAAATCCAACATATGCGAAGAAAAACAACAGGCTGATGCCAACAGAAAATACCCTCGCGCACCGTGAGGTGGTAAAGGAGGAGTAGTTTTTTGCTTCTGCTTTGGTAAAAAAAAAAAAAACAAAAAAAAAAAAAAAAAAAAAAAAAAAAAAAAAAAATGACCAGCCAAATGATGATGAAGGACGATAGTGATGACAGACAATGGAAGCGATGTAATAAAAGCGAGATGAGCCGTTTTTGTGCTTAAGAAACAGCGAGGATTACATGATTGACTTATATGATATATCTAATCTAATCTCTTCAATGAGGGTCTAGATGGCCGTAGTCGTCAGGAAGGACTGTGTACATATACTATCTGGATTGTGGTTGCAGAGAGTCGAAATATGATGTCCTATTGATACGAGCCAGCCGCAGCACCGCGGATTCACGTACCTTAGGAGGATGTTTCGGATGTTTCCGGCGGCAATGAAGGCTACAAAGTCACCTAGCTCTACTCTTAGGTAAGCGAATGATCCACCTGAAAGGAAAGAAATATTATTATTATTATTATTGTTAATTATTTTATCTATATGATTTGTACTAATATTTTCAAAATTTTAAGTTGTAAGGTTGAAATAGATTTAATTTATATGGTTTTTGGTTCAATGGTTTATTGATTTTTTTTTTTTTGTTGAATAGTAATGATATTACAGTAATATAATTTTTCTTAAAAAATATTTTAAAAATAAAATATGATCTTAATACTATCAATAAAAAGAAATTCAATAAAAAGAAATTATTTAGCTTTGTGCATGTAAAATTGTAAATTGACCAAAAAATACTTATCAAAATAAGTTTAAAAAAAAAAATTTCTAGCTTGCATATTATCCGAATTTGCTCTTCAGAGCTTGAAATATGTGTCTTTTTCCACCTTACATTGGAAAGTCGTGGCCTTTAGGAGATAATTCGTCAAAGGAAAATTTTGGCTTGTTCTCGTTTATAAATCAAATAAATAAAATTAAATATTTTTTAAAAAATATTTTGACTTTATATGGTTAGAAATACTTTAGTTTCAATAAAAATCTTTAATTTTATTAGTTTGGTTGATAAATTGAGTCACGGAGATAAGTTTTTTTTTCTTATAAAAGAGTAAAGTGTTATCTTACGAATATTTAAAGAAACTCTATTTTAGGAAGCCAAAACTGAAATCTTTTAATTAAGAGAAAAGAGATTACTATTTAAATTGGTTTTTAACTGTTTTTTAAGAGCAAAATAAGATTTTTTATTTTTTAACTGTTTAGTCCACTAGTTACATGCGAAGGATATTTCTGGCTTGATTTTTTCATAATTTGGTCAGCAAAAATAAATAAATTACCTTAATATGAATATTAAATACATAACATACCTGCAACTGGAATTTCCACTGCAAACTCAGTATAGCAAAACACAGAGAGCATAGCAGAAACACCCGAAATCACATAAGATAACAGAATAGCAGGTCCGGCGTGGTCACGTGCCTCAAGTCCGGTTAGAACAAATATACCTGACCCGATTACAACCCCTATGCCAAACCAGATTAAGTCCCACCAAGTAAGGTCCTTCTTCATATCATGCTCGCTTCGAGCCTTTATTTCATGCAGCTCCGTGGAGTCCATGGATCTGGTCAATAACCGATCCTTGAATCGCATTGGAGTTTCGCTAAGAGCTTTCATGTAATTTCCCCAGCTTTGAAATGATTCTTCTGGAAGAAAATCGTTCTTCGTACAAGAACAGCCTCTTCGCCGGATTCCGGTGTCTGCCTCAGCTGCTTCGCCACCTCCCATTTTTAGTTTTTCTGAGAGAAACAGCGGGAGCGAGTGTTCTTGTTTTATAAGGAAAATTGGAATTGCCTAGTCGATGATAGCTATAAATGTAGAAATAATATACAGACAAAATGGTCTATTATGTATGCGTCATCGAAGAAAACGATTTATTATTAATTTTAATGAATTAATTAATGGATGGAATCTGGGTTCGGCAATTTATTATATGATAATAATAATGGTGAAGAAAGAATCTGCCAATAACTTAGAATTTTTATTTATTTATTTATTCATTTATGAGAGGCTAAACGAATTGAAATAATATGTTATACAGGGCTATGCTAAATTCAACTGATTATACTATAGGAATAACTATATTCTAAACTCAGCAAATTGATCAAAATATTTGAAAGAATTTAAATTTGAAACATCTCGTTCCCAAATTAGCTAAAGAATTCAAATTTGAAACATCTCGTTCCCAAATTAGCTATAAGATATATATATATATATTTAGATAAACCAATAAAGAAAGTCTTTCTCTGTGGACCTTTCTTTCTTGGCTGCAACTGATAAAAGAGGAATAATATAGTTAAATAGTTTCCTCATAATAGTTGTAATTTCATATTTCTAATTTCTTACATTATAAGTATAGTTCGTCCAAAGAAAATCTATGTTGGCTGATTTGATTTTTATATTTTAATTGTCTATTGTAAAAGGTTAATATTAATATGATTAAGCATTAAAAAATGAAAAATCGTATGGTTTTGGTCATAATTATTTGGCCAAATGCATACATATATTCATGTACTTTACAAAAAAAAATTTTGTGGTACCTCAAACTTTGCAAATGACATATTATATCTCTGAAGTTACAAATGTTGCTAATATTGTATCCCTCTTTATGCTAACAATAATTTTTTTTTTTTTTTTTTTTGTTACAAATGTTGAATATTGTAATCCCTCTTTATGCTAAACAATAGTTTTTTTTTTTTTTTTTTTTTTTTTTTTTTTTTTTTTGCATTTATGTGCATAATATTCACTAAATGTGTAGTTAATATAATATTTAAAACAATAATTTTCACATTTTTCAACCTTCTAATAAGTGTTTAATTGAATTAATTTTAGAAGTTTGAGTATTCAATATAATAACTTTTGCAATTTGAAATATTTAATTAATACAATTTCGTAAATTAAAGTGATCAATAGATCAATATAAAAATTGATAGTGCTACAAAAATTTAACATAAATTACATGGACGAATTTATGCATTCCACTGGACCATTTTGGATTAGTTAGATATTTTAAGGTGTTTAGAAAAGTTTTGTGGATAAGACTTGTTGGAAGAAGTATTACGTTATTACACACGGAGAGACGACAATAAGATTCTGGTTTTGGACTTTTAGCATCTCGGTAGGTGTATATAATATTCTACACGTAACGCAATGGGAAAAAAGACAAGGTGCTACTTCGAAAAGAAAACACGTAACGCAATGGGAAAAAAGACAAGGTGCTACTTCGAAAAGAAATATATATATATATATATATCCTTGTTCACACTAAAGCACTCAGTCTTCTTATAAAGAGTACAAAAAAAAGAAAACAATACATATAGATTTTTTTTTTTTAAGTAGTATTAGAAACAATAATGAATAATTTCTCGAATAGCTGTCATTTTTATTTGTGTTGTGGAGAATATTTTCTCAAATAGTTTTGTTCCTTTTTAATTTGATTTGTTTCCTTTTAACGATGTCTTGATGGGATTAAGAGAATTAGACTAAATCTTGAATTTATTTGTGGTTGAGGGGAATCGAATCGAGTTCTCTCACTTCTCATATAAGTAAGAAGACCAATCAGACTACAACTACTTAATTGGTCGACTAAATCTTGAATTTGATACTTACAATAAGTACAAATGTTTATTTTTTACAATTTCGCTTGAAAGGGAAACTAATACAAAGGAAGATAAAAACTAGAGCTTCAGGAACAGGGAAAGAAAAAAGCATGCACGCCTTTGTATTTTACAAGAGAAACCAATTACAGAAACTAAAGATAAAAGTTATGGATACCATCAATACCCACAATAGCCAGCCAGTCAGTATACTTTACTTCCTTTCTTTTTTTCTGTTTTTGAAAATTAATTAACCTTAACTTGTATATTAATTTTGCATCTACTTAAGCAGTAGGCTGTGCACCTTCTTCCAACTCTTTCCAGCCCCCTGCATTTCTTCTCACCTTTGATTCTTTAGCAGCATCATAAGTAGCATGTAAACCAAATAGAAAATAATAAATCAGCAAAACAACAGTCCAAATACCAAACCTTTCAAAAGATTTCGCATCAATCGATCCGAGAAGGAAAATGTTGATAATAATCGAACCAGATGGTATCCATGGCACTAATGGAACACCCCATAATTTTGGAGCTTTTGCTTTTGGAACAAAAACACTTAGTACTAATGTAGCCAAAAACCATATGGGTATAGTTATAACATAGCCAATCCATCCATTACCACCTGCACCCCATATAGCAGCAGTTGCAATAGAGGAGCCAAGAATTACCAAAATGCACAATATCAACTTCATTCGATTTGCTGGTGTTGTAACTCCAGGAACATAGTAACGACGAACAAGAAGTGATAGTGCAACGAGCATGAAAATAAACAGTGTGGAGATGGATAAAAGATCGGATAATATATCAAGCTTTGTGAAGAAAGCAATAATAGCAGTAGCAGTAAGCATGACAATAGTTGCATTGACAGGAGTTCCGGTTCTTGAGTTAACCTGAGCTAGCCATGGTGGCATCATATGAGTACGAGCAATGTGAGTGAGATAGCGGGCTTGACCCACTGCAGAAACAAGCAAAACTGTTGTCATTCCTTTTAATGCACCTGCAGCAACAATGTATTTAGCCCAATCCCATCCCACCAGTTGAAAGGCTACGGAAAATGGAGCATCTGCATCAATTTGCTTGAAGGGAACCATAAGGCATAATGTTACGGCTAGTAAACAATATAGCAATGTAGTTATTGCCATTGAACCTACTAGACCAATAGGAATATCGCGAGCAGGGTTTTTGGTCTCTTCTGCCATTGTAGAAACTGCATCAAACCCAACATAAGCAAAGAAAAGCACAGCAGCTGAATTAAAAATACCACGAGAGCCATACGGAGCAAAATCACTGTAATTTTTGGTGTCCGCATTAATAAGGCCTGCAATAATTATAAAGAGAATTACAGCAATGTGGACAATGGATGCGTAATTTTTGGTGTCCGCATTAATAAGGCCTGCAATAATTATAAAGAGAATTACAGCAATGTGGACAATGGATGCTATGTAGTTGAAGCGAGAAGAGCCCTTGGTGCTAAGAACTGCAAGAACGCAAATGACGGCTGTAATCCCAACAGCAACGGGGTCAAGATGGCCGTAATCATCAGGAAGGCTGTGGGCTATGATACGGAAGTCATCAGGTTTGTGGTTGCAGAGAGTGGCCAAATAAGATGTCCATGAACGTGCCACCGCAGCACCACCAATTACATACTCGAGAAGGATGTTGCCAGCGGCAATGAACGCCATGAAGTCGCCTAGTTCTACTCTTAAGTAAGCAAATGAACCGCCTGATCGTGATGGAAGAACAAATCATATTAAGATGCTTCATTGTATAAATTTGTTGAAGACAAATTAAGTTGTCATGTTAACAAGAATAAGCATAACAAATATTAAAGAAACAAAATTCTCTAAAATGGGAATTTTAGAAAATAATGAAATGACAGCTACAACAATAATAATATTAGCAATTAATTCTTAATCCTAAACTAGTTGGTATTGGCAGTATAATATCAAAATCCTCAACTAACATTTAAATTGTTATAAAGATAGGCATAAGATTAAGTTTTTAAATTCTACCAACTGGGAAAGATGTATATACATTCAACAAAGGCACAAATAAGGGTGTGGTAACAAAAGGACAAGACAGTAGTCTACTATGGCTGAATGCAGAAGTTGGGTACACAAGTATTTTCTCTACTAATTTATCAAATAGTAAAAAAGGTCAACTTTCTAAAAAAGCAAAAGTCAAATCCTATATATAGTAACCGAGTCTCAGTTATTGTCACATGTCAACGATGCCAGCTCAAGTCTACCGAGCAAAAATAGTAGACTGCAAGTCTTTACCTAAAGTATTCTTCAAAGCACTATCGCAGTCATTAAATCATTATCTTATGCAATTGTTTTGTTTCAAATGAAGAGTGTATCTTTGACCTTTAAACGCAAATTGAAAAGGACAAAAAAAAAATTAATATTTCTATAAATATAACAGACTTTATATTTTTCTAAATTCTGCAAGAAGAATTTCTGAATATATAAATATAATATTTACAATGATCACATTAAGCTAATAATTATCACCAGAATTTTTCTTTTTAGGGAAAACTATGACCAATAATTGTTCACTGCGTCAGAATTAAGATTCATTGTAATTAATTAAATTCTAAATTTATGTACCAGCAACAGGAATTTCAACGGCGAACTCGGTGTAACAAAATTAAGATTCATTGTAATTAATTAAATTCTAAATTTATGTACCAGCAACAGGAATTTCAACGGCGAACTCGGTGTAACAAAATACGGAGAGCATCGCGGAGACGCCGGAAACCACATAAGACAAGACAACCGCAGGCCCGGAGACCTCCTTTGCCTCAAGACCAGTGAGGACGAATATTCCAGCGCCAATAACAGCGCCGATACCGAACCAGATAAGGTCCCACCACGTTAGGTTCTTTTTCATTTCATGCTCGCTTTGAGCTTTGACCTCTGTGATTTCTACAGAATCCACAGATCGAGTAAAGAGTCTGTCCTTGAAACGCATTGGCGTTTCAAGGAGTGCTTTTCCATAATTGCTGAAGCTTTGAAATGACTCCTCAGGGAGAAAATCGTCTTTTGTGCACGAGCAACCTCTTCTTCTCACTCCTTCACCGCCGCCGCCGCCGCCTCTCGCTTCTTCTACACCAACTGCCATTCTAATAACAAAGAGCGAAATACAGATCTTAATTAGAAAGAAAACTTAATTGTTCATATGTTCTCGACAATCAAACAGAAGACATAATATAGATTATGATCCTCAAGGAAATCAACAGATTTAATTCATTACCTGATTAAGAACAGAGACTTGAGAGGAGATGATCGGAGGAATTAGCCAGAGATAGGGAAATTTCACGGTGACCGGTGCTGGAAGGTTCGTGGAGAAAGAACGAAAGAGTTTCTTTCTCTTTCTCTCTCTTATTTTCTTCCTCACAAGTTGGGCGCCGGAAGAAAGTGAACCACATGCAGAATCTATATAGGAGGGAAAAAAGAGTGTCTCAAAGCCGAAAATGATTCTATAACCGGTAGATTCCAGCAAAGATTCAATCAGAAATGACACGTGTACGGTGCTGAATTGTTACACAGTAAGTACTGGACACAGCTATAATTTTTCATCTAAAAAGGAAAGCGTAATTATTTCGGTGTAATACTCGTAAGGAAACCTTAATTAAAGACAAGCCGATCTTAGAGGACCTACACACTAATCCAATCTATAAAAAAATTGTTAGTATTATTTTATTTTTTTCCTAATAAATGGTAAACACGCTGGTTAAACTAAAAATTTACTATCTTAATTTCATAATACTTGTCACATTTTAAATTTTACATCCCTGAAAAAAAATCATTAAATTTATATAAGTTATAATAAATTATTGAGTAAATTTATAATACTATCCTCAATTTAATATTAATTTTTTTAAGAAAATTATTAAATTAAAATAATAATTATTGATCATATACAAAGGGTAAATACGAAAAAATAATTTATTATTCTTTATAATCACAAATATAACAAGTATTTTGGAATAAATTATTTTATCAAATATGATAAATATTATGAAATGGGATAGTATTTTTTATTAAATAATTACTTTCCTGAAAGCGAATATGAAAATTACAATAGCTATTGCAGGTGCTGAATTTAGCATGTATTTATATATATTTGTTTTTTCCAACGTGTATTGCACGTTATTTATATTCGTTAATTTTTACCCGTTGCAAGTAAAGGTAACTTAATTTATAATATTAAGCTTTTGTTATCAATTGTAATATTTTGAACAATTTATATTACTAAATCCAATAGCATTAAAGTAGAAAAATTATGAAATAAAAAAATAACAAAATTGCTGAAAGCGATGATTAGCTTGACTTAACTTATTACATTTTAAATATATATTATAGATATTATATATTATAGATAGGTAATTATTATAATAATTAATATATTAATCATTGTTTTAGGGTATTATTTATAGTTTTTATCTTTTTTTTTTTTTTTTTATAGTTTTTTTTATCTTTTTTTTTTTTTTGCAAAATTTTGTTAAGCATATAATTTAAATTTTATGGTTACTTTTTTTTTAGAAAAAAATTTTACATATGATTGCTAATAAAATGTGTTTAACCATATTTTATTATATATATTATATTGAATTTTATTTTCTATTTTATATTCAAACAATAAATCTTATTAATATATTCTTGAATAAATATAATAAATTACATTTATCTTTGTAAAATAATCATAACCATTTTTTTTTTTTTTTGCTAAAATTTTGTAAGCATATAATTAATTTTATGGTTACTTTTTTTTAGAAAAAATTTTACATATGATTTGCTAATATAATGTGTTTACCATAATTTTATTTATATATATTTATATTGAATTTTATTTTCTATTTTATATCAAACAATAAATCTTATAATATATTCTTGAATAAATATAATAAATTACATTTATTCTTTGTAAAATAATCATAACCAATCAAATTAAAGATTTAGTAAAAGTAATAGTAAAACATATTATATTTTTACCATATTTAATATGTACCTTATGTAGTATAATATAACCAATCAAAATCAAATTACTTTTATTTTTTCGATCAATAAAAATTAAAACTATTAAAAATATTATATTTTTATCATATTTAATAGATATCTCATTTGATATATTAATATAATTTTTTAGTTTATCTAGTATAATTTAGACTTAAATTGGGTTAATATAATCAATCAAAATTAAATTACTTTTATTTTTTTAATCAATAATATTAAAATTTTAAAGATATTATATTCTTATCACATTTAATATATATTTTATTTATTATATAATATAATTTACTATTTTATCAAATAGAATTTAGATTTAAATAGGAAATCAGTATGGACAATCAATCTTTTTTTTTAGAAGAGACCAATCAAATTTAAATTATCTTTATTCATTCAACCAATAAAATTAAAATCCTGAATGATATTATATTCTTATCATATTTAATATATACCTTATATAATATATAATATAATTTTTAATTTATAATTTTAAGAAATTAATATAACCAATTAAAATTAAATTATTATGATTTTTAAACCAAATAAAATCAAAATCCTTAATATAAACTTAATATGGGCTTTTTCGATGATCTCAATGTTGTTCTCCTCTCCGTTCATATGTAGATAGATAAGTTTGAATTCATTCGACCAGCAGTTATGGATTAATTTTCTATTTCAGAATTTCTAAAAAAAAAAAAGAGACGAAACATGAATCCATTGGACCCCATTTGAATGCATTGAATCAACAGTTTGAAATTAGTTTATATTTGACAACTAATTTGAATTCATTCTTCTATATGTAGTTTTAGATCATATGAATCGATTCGATTTCATTTAAAATTCTCAGACTGATACAATTTTTTTTTTCAATATCAATTTAAAATTCATATTTTGGTGTCAAATTTAATTTCTATTTACCAATTATGGTTTTAAAGATTTCTTTTTCGAGAATTTCACACATAGGTGCAGAAATTAATGTCCAATACGAAAGCAAGCTTAATTTGTCCTTCTGCTTCTCATTATGGGAGCTGCTAAGAATAAAAAATCTCTATCAAAAATCTTTATTTGTGTAAAAATCGAGATATTTTATATCTATCTATCTACCTACGTTTATATAAATATATAAAGCTTGAAACATATTCCATAATGTCATGAAATTTTAAAATTTTATTTTGCTCAGTCACAAATGATTTTTTTATTTAAAGAAATTTATTTTTTAATTTCATTTATACATATTGATAAAGTGACATTAATATCATTACTATTAATGATAGTTTATAGTTTTTAATAATTGATATAATTAATAATATAATTAATATTTTAAAAATATTTCAACTTCCTTTTTAATAAGTAATTAATTTCAATGAAATTAATAAATATTCGTTACTATAAATGAAAAGTCAAATGAAATTTGTTTTTTTACTTGTATAAAAGCATAGCTTTCTTTTCACATTTCTTTAGGAAAATTATAGTATTCTCTTCAATATTCTTAAATACTTATCATGTTTCAAAAAGCACAGTATTTTCAAATGTTTGTCACGTTATTAGCAATTGCTTTAATTATTCAATAATTTATTATAATTTAGACAAATTAAAAATAATATAATTTATTTATTTAATAATTAATTATAATTTAGACAAATTAATTAATTTTCTTAAAAAACATGAAATACCTGAATATACGAGTATTCGGAAACGGATGAAGTAAAATGGCAACCCAAAACTCCTCCCTTCAGTGTCTTCTTTTCATAAGCCTTACATGTGTTCTCGTGATTAATTGCAATGGCACAGGTGATGGAGATAGAAAGGCATTCAATTTCATCTCCCACGTCCATATTTCTTTCTGTTATTTCTATACTCTTGTTTACTTCTGTTGTTCATTTTTTTTTTTTTTTTTTTACCTTGTTTTAGAATCAGGCAGCTTTGTAAATTAAATATTCTTTTATTCTCTTTTAAACGTAAATGATTTACATAATTTGTTAATTTTAGATTAGAAATTGATGCTAGAACTTTAACATCATGTTTGATTGCAAAGAAATATAAAATATAGTGATTGGAGACATTTAACATTATCTTTTTTTTTCCAATGAATAGTTAGAAACACTCTCATATATACATATATACATCATTGATTCCATCCATAGGTAATTTTTTTTTTCAATGAATAGTTAGAAACACCGTCATATAAATATTATTAATTTAATTTATAGATTATCTATAAATCGGGTCTAAATAAATCATTCTTTTATTTGATTACATCTCATCGGACATAACCTTAATTGAAATATAATATATTAATACTGGAAGAATTCTCTTTTTTTATTATGCTGATTTTAGTGAGATTCAAAAAATGACTTGGACATAATAAATAGTGATTAATTGTTTATCTTAATTACTATCAGGTATTGCACACTAAGACATAGCCCAGTGAAAAGTGTATATGCAACCTGACAATAGATCCAGTCAAGTTCGAATGCCCTCTCCCCCAATACTTAAAAAAATAATAATAATAATAAAAATAAAAAAATTATTATCAGGTATTAGTACATGACCATAACCTTGCAAGGGTACTAATAACAACAAAATACATAAAATTAGCAAAATTGACTTAATCGTGACATTTTAATTCGACAAAATGAGCAATATATTTGAGAGAGAATAAAAAAATTATGCACGAACACAGATATTTATAGACAACAAAATAAAACTAAAATACCAACAAAAGTAGAAACTCATTATAACTTATAAGCATTCGCTTCAATCCAATTTAAATTATTACAAAAATTGAAAACCAAGATTGCCATAAGTTACGTGCTCAAGAAGACATGTTCTCAATGAATTAACCATTACAGTGCACGTACCGAATATTTCTAAGTTTAAAATAAATAATAAAAAACACTATGGGTCTCAATCTAGAATGAATATGATAGCCTAAAAACTGGCTTCAATTGTATATGATAACTCAATTGCACCTCCCAAAAAGGGCTGTACATTTCAAAAATTTCTATGTCAAGCAACTAACAAGTCTGAACAGCAAAAGACCGCCTTTTGCTCCAATGGTGGTAAAAAGAATGAATGTAACATTTAAAATTACAAAAATTGAAACGGGGTGGAAAAAAATATGAACAATAAGGTGACGCGTTGAAGAAGGCGGCTGCTGCCCAGAAAGCAAAACCACTGGCAACTATGTGAATAGAGTTACAACATCTCTACGGTATCCTCTTACCATCAAGAGCCTAGGCACATTTTCTACTAGTAAGTCCATATATTCCATGTAAAAGTAAGATGGGTGGTCTACCGGTGGTGGCGGTAGACTCACAAGCACTACCGCAGCCATTCTCGAGTATCTCAATATAGTTGAATTCAGCTTTAGGGTTGTGTATAAGAACTTCTCAACCTGTTGCTCATTCACCACCACAGGTTTCCCATCGGCCATCAGCGTAGTCCCTTCGCCTTGAGCTTTAGCCTTCATATCATGTAAGTAATTAGATATTCGTCGCTGAGCAGCAGTGAACGCTTCAAATGATTCGTCTTGTTGAGATCCATCCTGTACTCGTATATCCCATGATTTCATTGATATAACAATCACTTCTGCTTGCATTCGAAGATCATACAGAAATTTCTTCACATCAGCTTTTAATTCCTCTGCATCTGAATCTTCCTCCGCAATACAGAAGACCTGAATCTTACAACTCTCAAAACTCTCCTTTGTAAGGAGAAGCTGGGAAAGGAGAAGCATCAGACCACCATCTCTCACAATCCAATATAAATCAATTGTACCATATTGCCTCTGATACTCGTTCGGCCATTCGTCAAGACCCTTGACAATAACAACTGCTTTGTTTGCAACAATACAGTCATTAATTATGCCAACAAAGGTGGCTGGTATTTCAGTTAGGTTTTCACGACGCCATATTTCAGGGTATCTCATCACCACAATGTTTGGTTTGAGGTTACCCAGGCCCATGGTTTGGACAATTCCACGAAAGCCTTCAAACATATTTGGAGCTACTACTATCTCTGCTACACCTTCACAATTCTTGTAATCAATGTAGGTAGCAAGTTGTTTGCAGGCCACCTTGGCATCTTCAGCATGTTCACGGTAATCTCCATCTAATATAGTTACAAAGATAGACATTCCACGGCCCTTTTTCTTCATGCAGTTTGCAAAGTCAGCAAGCTTAGGATGGCAAGGTACATTTTCTGGCAGCTTTCCCCAAGGCCGACAGAATATGAGAGGGATGGGATACCAATTCTTTGGGTGGACTTGGTTAGCTGTAAAAATGGCATGTCAATCATAGTGAAAAGATAAGTACGCAAAAATAGGCATCCAAAAGGGGAAAAGTTGAACCAACTGAAAGGCTTTTTGTGAGCAATAAACCTTTTGAAAAAGCCACGCTCCGGGATCAAGTTGTCCCCTTAAGAAATAAATAAAATTCCCTATGCATATTGACAATATAATGTGCATATCTCAAAATGCATCCCATCCAGAAAATTAAAGTTATTATTTATAATTCCCAGGCTACAACATCATTTACCAACAAGCAAGTCTATGCAAGATATTCATTGAATCCTTGAAAAGTTTACAACACCATTCGATGTACAAATGCAGATCCCAATGCATTCTTACAAACTATATTGCCAAATGCAGCTTACAAGAAAAATGTAAATTTCACAGTTTATAACTAATTAGGGACAACCCTAGCTCTAGTTTTTCTTGACAGCTACATGATCAACATCTTATGCTTGAAACCAACATTATATGTTTGAAACAGTAGAGGAATGATTTATTACACCATTAAAATGCTTACAAATTTTTATTTAAAAGGAGTAAAGAAAGAAAGAAAGAGGAAAGGCATGAGTTTGAAACATTTGATATTAGTGTCAAATTCTCATATCCAGTAACTCCGCACATTGACAGCATCTAGATTACAAAAAATAAACAACAGAATAGAAGTAACACATAATAATACCATCACTTGCAAATATATTCATACGAGGCACAAAACATAAGAGGGGAAAAGGTTACAAGCAGCAAGACCACAGATTGCCATTAAGATAGCATATTATATTTTCAAGAATCCATGCAATAAACATAACAATCAAGAGCTCTATAAGAGAATTATCATATCCTGTAACTACTTTTAGGACAATATACACACCTCCTAGAGATCGAAGACTGCGAAGAGCTAACTGAAAATATGCACTCTTGAAGCCATCACCCCAGTCCCCGGCCTTTCCTTTAACGCTCACATAATAATATATGAGACTAGCAAGGGCTAGCGACACAACAGTGAACGACCAAGAAATCAAGAACATAATAACTGCAGGGTAAAGAAGTAGCAGTAAGATTGATTCCCCAAACAACACACATCTGCACTCACAAATCAAGAAAACAATAATTGCAAGTTTTTCTCGCTTTATGCAGCAGAAAAACTGTAAAAGGAGAGTTGAAAAACTGCAAGTAAAATCCACCATCTTACGTGCCCACGAAGTTTGGAGTGGATGAGGCTGCTGATTTTTCATTTTCACACCAAAATTTTAATGTGTTCATTTCTTCTTCTCGGCACAATAAATCAATAGAAGTAATGGTAGTAAAATAATAAGAAAAAGGAGGAATACCAATACAAAGTGACGCTCCAAGAAGAGAGAGGCTCCAATGGTGAAACTTCCACCGTGGACGCCAACTGGGGGCATCTAGAAGATCCAAAAGGAAGCAAGACAAGTTCACACCCGCATAACACAAAAGGAAAAACATAGTTACAGTCGGAGTGATAAGATCCAAATTCCCAATAACAACACAAGCAATACAAATAAATGCTGTAAAGAGGGTGGCAATGTGAGGCTCCTGTCCATCTGCAACTTTGAAGTAGTTGAGAACAGGCAGAATATCATCATTTGCTATTGCTGCAAGTAGGCGTGGAGCACCTGTCAGGCTTTGAAGAGCTGCTCCTAAGGTTGAAAGAATAATACCAATGTATACAATTGCAGGGGCAGGCCAAGCAATAGTGGCTGTAAGTAGCCTACATTAAAGATACAGATTAGTAAAGAATATTATTACTCACACTTTTGCAAACTCAAAACATTATGATGAAGTTTTAGTAATGTTCCATCAAGAAACGAGTGATGGTTCATTGCCATAATTCAAAATCAAGGGTAAACAAATCAGAAGGAAAGAACGAAAAAATTGTAAATAATTAAGCCATGCACAAGTACATAAAAGGAAATGAAGCCAACAAATTAAGCTGCTGACATTAGCACACGAGCAGTAGCATAAGTCCAAACTTCATACCACTGACAATAACAAGCTGTCGTAAGATACTAGACTCAGAGAGTATCAAAGAACTTCACCATCAATACGCCAGAAACCCCTCTTGCCCACCCTATCTATATTCTGGTCAGCATGATAACTAACAATTGGCAAGTTCCAAATCAGCACATAAAGAAGCAAGCAAGTGCATAAACCAGTTATTAATATCAATGAATAGAAATACTAGGGTAACAAGAATGCTTGCCAATTTGAAGATATTATAGGCCTGAAGACATGTGTTTGCCATTATACATATCAAAAGCTGCCATGCAAGATACTCACCTCATCACATGTTGATAGTTGAAAACAACAAGGTATCAGAGAACAATGCATCACTTAACAATGAACAAAAAGTACAGGATAAAAAAATATGCAAAACTTGTTATGTCAAAGAAATATACAGAGACATCGAAATCACATTTAAGAAAAAAAAAAAAAAAAAGACATGAAAAGTTAGGAACAAAGGTATCAAATTAAATACATATAATTACCTGTCTGTTAAAAGTTTGTCTCTAGTTGCAAGTGCTCCAAAAAATAACACGGAAATCAGGTATAGCACAGTAGTTGAAAGAGTGGCAGCCAAAGTACCAACAGGAATTGAACGCTGTGTGTCCTTGAGTGAGGCTGATCTATTAGAACCTGCCATAATTCCCGTTACAGCAGGGAAAAAGAGACCAACCAATGCACTGAGAAAATCAAAGGGAAAAAATCAGAAAGTATCCAAAGGATTCCATCCCAGACCAGTTATGATAACATGAATTGTCATGCTTCATTCAAATATTATGTTAGCATCAGAATTTGGAGGCACAAAAATTAAAATTCTAATTCATTAGGCTACCAAATGCTTCAGAGCAATGCAACATTGACCCATGTCATAATTTTGGGATAACCAAAATACAAGAATACACCTTACTTTAATGGTTTAAGGACTTCTTTTTCCTTCGGCAGTCAAACTTAATTCTTGTTTCAGGAACCTCCATGCCCCATGTTCAACGGAACTAAGATAAAACTAAACAAAATAATAAAATACTTCTATTTTTGTTAATTGTACAATCCAATTAAGTTTCAGGTTTTATTTAGTCTCCCACCACCACTATTTCCACTTTTATAAAAACACAATTGAGAAAATCAGTCACATTAATGATAAGATCGAATAATTGAAAAAAAATTCCAGTGCCTTTGTGTGATTATGGGATCAGCATGTGATAACCACCATGGAAAACTTATAAGGCTTGGGCCAACAGAATTATCAAATTGTCCCATAGAACTAGTACCAAAACCCATTACAAACAGATTGATTTGATGAAATCAACTTTTATAAACAACAAAATATGAAAAGTAACACATTACTTGAAATTCCAATAAGTCTTTCCTTGAGGATCAGGTATTCCAGCATCATTGGTAAACTGATAATCTGAACTCCAGTTTTCTTTGAAGCTTTCCAGACTCAAACCCGTTATTCCAGCTGCATCAATCATTTCGAGTGTAAAAATTCATTCTATTACACCACCCAAACAATAAGATAAAACAAAATTTTTTAAGCGAAAAATAAAAATCCACAAATGTGCCTATAAAACCAAAGTTGAACTGATGAGCATACTGGAATACTAATCTGATCTCCAAAATTTGGTCAAAAAACTTGAAAGACAAAATTACTGCCTCAAACAACATATTATGTTAGAGCAAATCTGGACTCAATATTAACATAAGTGTTTTGGATTAATAGTTTGCCAAAGCAGTGTAATATGGCTGCACGTTTGGATCATGGTTTTGATAACTGCGTTTTTCACAACATTTCAGCTGTGTTCATATATTATTTTACTTTCCACTTCTCTGTGGGTGATTCACCAATTGCCTAGAAACAGCAGAGGAAACATGACAAAACAACTAATTCTCATGTTTCACCAATTATTAACATAATAGTTAATATCTTGCATATTTTACTAATTCTGCTTTTTAGCGCTTTTTTTTTTTTTTTTTGAATTCTTGTTTATTGTTGATTTAAGTGATTTTGCAAACGGCTTTAAAAAATTAATGGCAGCCAATTTGGAACGATTCAATTCAAGTCAGATTGATTCCAGGACACATTTTTCATTTCTATTGCTGTTTTCCAATTCCATTATTTAAAAAACCTTGGCGTCACTAGCAAAATCCCAAAGAGAAATACAACAGAAACTGTAAGTTTGTGTCTATGATATCTTATACAGCTAAATGTAAATATTAACAACAGAACAAGAATCTTTGAACAATGCTGCTATTGTACAAATGAACAAGAAAACAAGCCAGCTCAATAAAATACTTGGGCCAGGGAAAATTTAAGCACAAAAACTGAACCAATTCCATGAAGCAACCAAGGACAAGAAGCTAGAGGAAAGCAGCTTCCAACTGTTTGACACTGCTAGACTAGCCATATACAAAGAACTCAACCACCCTTGAGATTGAGTTGAGAAAATAAGATACTTTCTCATACCTGTCATTATATGCTATAACTATATATATTGATCCGACACAAATGAACTCTCCTCGAACCCTTTTACTTCAACTCAAATTCTCCCCAAAACAGTAGAAATTCGAAGTAAATTTCTAATTTTTTGTTTAAAATTATTAAATTCCATTAAAATTTTCTTATTTTTATAGATATTAGTTCTAATGCTTCACAACCTGTTTTTAAAATTTCATACTTCAATTCTATAATAAATATCTCAGATTCTCAATAAAGATGACAAACAGGCCCCTCCTAGCATTTTTTTAAAGTTGAAAAAAAATTATTTTTTATTTGGCCCCCTAACTTCTGAATTTTTTTTGGCCCCTCTACTTTTGGAATCTGGTTCTGCCAGACTCATTCTCCATAACAATTGACACACTCATATTCCAGAAATAAAGAAAGAACTATTTTGATCATACTGCCAAATAGGATAGAAATAATAGTTCAAATCCCAAATTCTTTGTTAATTTTTGTTTTGCTTCGTAGAACTAGGACTAAGTAGTTCTTGTACAACAAGGCAATAGGAGTATTTTCATTAGTTTCCTGATCCTCCTTTTAAATCGATCTTGCTAATAATATCTTCAATCACCAGTTTGAGAGATCATAATATTTGTTCACCCTTAAGTAGGCTAGCTTTTATTCAAAGTCATTGACATTAGATTAAATTTGAGAACCAGGCTTCAAGTTATGGTTTGACTAGCAAAAGTAGCAATACAAATAAATAATAAACAAAAAAGAAAAGGTAAATTAAGAAATATCCTTGACAGCTAGTTATACGCTTTCAGACAGTAATTCTAAATAATTTGTCAGCAAAACATCTCAAATTTTGCATCAGATGCAAAGATATTTATCAGCACTAAATTCAGTCCAGAGAATACTGTTAGTCAAACACTTCCCACTGATAATAATGCATATCAGCTGAGAAAATGATGCATGTGTAAACATATCTGTAAACATTAAAGACTAACCTGCTGGACGATCCTTCCTTGCTGTAAAAGTCCCAACAAATATGCAGAACAGGGAGAATAAAACCGGTATAAGGAAAGCAGGTGCAACCCGGTTAATCATTTTCACACCACCGAAAACAATGAAGCATAAGAGGAGAGTAACAACAATCCCATAAATTTGCAAATCATGTGCACTTGGACTTTCTATAGGTTCTGCAGTTGCCGTTCCATTAACTTGTGTAACAGTCTCTACATTAGAAATATGGAGAACAATAAAATGAATCAGTATAATGTTGATTTCCAGCACCTCAAAATGATAGGTTTAAATACTAGTACCAACTACTGCAAGAAATTCTTAATAGTACCTCTAAATATCCCAGCAACAGGCACAGCTTTTAAAAATGTTTCCACAGCTCCCAACACATAACTACAACGGTAAAATACAAGCGAATGAAAAACACAGATGTCAGCAAAGGTGGCTAACAGTTCTTAGAAAAAGCTACAAAGATAACAGCACGCATTATGAGCCTCAAATTTGTGCATTCTTAAGGTCATGGACCTCAGCCACAAATATCATTGTAGCATCACTTATGAAGTTCATTATATCTACTCACAGAGCTCCAGCAACTGCATTCCCAAGGAAGAAACACAAGCCAATGCTAACTCCAACCTCTGGGCCAAGAGCACGACCAATGAGATAATAAGGGCCTCCACCCTAGAATTAAACAGACACCAAGTTGCTTAAAAAATAGTTCCAACATTGACCCAGTGGTCCAAGTCAATAGAAAAAATTAGCGTACAACACTGGACAGTCCAATACAATTTATATATACTTCTGATTTGCGTAGCATTTCAATTCCATTTCTTTTAATCATACTAAAATATCACATACGAGGCCCTAAATCTTTAAATGGATCGATACTTCAGTCCCTGATCTTTTACAGGAAAAAATTTTTTATTTGTTGAGTTTTCACATACTGAACACTTTAGACAGTTTTTCATATAGTGAACACTTTAGACCTTTTAGTCTTTCAATTACATTTTAATCCCTCGACTTTAAATGAAACAACCTTCTTGTTGAAGCAATGGAACTTTTGTTTGGAAGAAAAACCTAGATTAGTAAAATTGAATGTTGATGTAATCTAATTTACTTGTATTTTGTTATGAATCCAGAGCCTACATGTTTATTGGGTTAGGTAACAGGTATGGGTTCAGATTGTGTTTTAGCCAACTAGTATATCTTAGTTAAGATGCAGTAAAAAGCGTGGTTAGGAATGGCTGAAATCTAATTTCATAAAGAAAATCCTCCATTTATATTATATACATATTTGTATATAGCTTGTTGAAGGTTCTTCTGCAAGAACCTGTTTTCCTTGTCTGCCATCTACGTTAGTATTTTTGCCAGCATTTAAATAGTATGCAATTAAGACAACATTAATAAAAGTTTGGTTCATTTAAGAGTTGGGATTAAAAGGCTATTAAAAGGAGTAAAATATAGTGACTTAAAAACTAAAACACCTTTAATTAATTTTTAAGAGAGAACATAAGTGCATAGTTCCCTATATGCTAGGGAACTTTTTATATATAGTTCACTGCAGGTTCATTTGCAAGAACCTGTTCCCTGTGTGCCAGCTGTGGTAGTGTTTGCCTGCATTCCAGACTGTTCTATCTCAATGTTTTCATATATCCGATTGTTTAAATGTTTGAGAACACCATTAATAGAAGTTTGGTTCATTTAAGAGTATGAATTAAAATATGATTAAAGGACTGAAATATAGTTAATTAAAAACTAAAACACCTTTTAATTAATTTTTAAAGGAGAACATAAGTGTATATTTCTCTATATGCTAGGGAACTTCTTGTAATTTAGTCAACTAATCCATATAAAGCATCATCTTGCTTATAGCTAATTCAAAAGTCTATAACAAGTAAGAAAATTCAAGTCCTGACTAATATAGCCAACTATTATAACTCAACCATATTTGCGTTCTTTTAACCTTAATCAATAACATTAAACCATATTGCAGTCATCAATTCAGTTTCAGTACTAGAAGGTTGAGAAAAAAAAGAACTAATTGCAAGAACTGAACTTTTGGCTTGTTTTTTCCATTTTTAATTTTTCTTTAATTTGAACGAACATTTTTAAATTTTTAATTCCATCACCAAATATCTGGAGAAATCAAGGTTCAAATAAATAATATGACATTGACAGGTGAGCCTGTCAAGTATACAGAATTGGAACATTTGATTTTGAGATGCTTCAAAATCCTTGTTATCTTTAAAATTTTTCTCATGTTTGTGCAACAGTAGGGAGCATATTTACTTTGATAATTCATTGTGGTGGAATGCATGAAAACGGTTAATTACTTTTTCATGGTTTCATAACATATCGACAATACAAGTTCTAATTTCACTGGAAAGAAATTGATGATAGAATCGGAAAAAAAAAATATAAAGTTCTTTCATTAAATTGAGAAACTTTAAGGTTCTTGATAGAATTGAAAAAAGCACCATAAATTCAATAATGTTTTTGCAATTGCCCAAAAAAAACAATATTATAAATAAATGATAGATAGATTTTTAAAAATACTTGGCCAATATGTAAATTGCAATCTACAAATTGAGGACAGATTTCAGCAAAGAAAGGTTAATTTGGAAGGTGTAATAGTAACACAAAGCACACATTTAATACCCAAGCACTATCATTCAGATGAATGATCAAAATTTGGTTAATGCCAACATACAAGAACATGATGGGAATAACGGGGAAGTGTAACAGAGGGCTAAACCTTTTTCCTTGTATAGAGTTGGAAAAATTTCTCGTTCATAAGAACACAAATAGTCTAGCTAAAGGGGATAAGAAATTCTTGATTATGTCAATGCATACCTTCATTGCACCATTAGTTGCAATAGCACTCAATGAAATTGACGTTAGGAAGGTACATAAACCACAAAATGCTACCAGCAGTAGTGATTCACCTATGCCAGCCATACCAACAATCCTGCAATTGTCACAACCAGAAAGGAGAAAGATGTGAATCTAGAAACTAATTAATCGAGATCTAGCTAGAGAAAAAGCGAATTCATAAAAAAGGGAAGCCAAAATTAACATATAGCTAAAAGAGAGTTACCAAGTAAATCGGATATAGTAGATAATTCCCAATATGTTCTGCAGGCACGGGACAAAAACACCCATCATTGTGCCCAATTTAACTTCATTAGCCTGCATGATACATAAAAAAGAGGAAATGCATCAGAAAGGGTAAATATTATAATTCCTATAAGCAACAAAAAAAAGAGGGTGTAATTCATTTAATATGGTTCTCTACTTTCAAGCCCAGCGCTTGGCAACTCCACCTACCCAAAAAATAAGCACGTACAAGAGCCAAAGGTGAAAAATACTCATAAGCAACTATGCCATGCAGCTAAATTCATTTTCCAGCATGATTTACACTTTTCCCCAAGAAAGAAAAATAAAGCAAAATAGGGAAACACAAAAGATCCAATCCTTTGGAGCAAGGTGAGTTTCTAATATCTTTGTCTTTTCAAGTAATATCTTGGTCAAGAGGGCAGCCTCTCAAAGCAAAGTAGACCTCATTTAAAGTCATTAACAATATGTATGAATGGAAAATATCACCAACATACAAAATTTGTAAATCCTTGTCAAAGAGATGTATTTTCCCCAGGTCCTTCGGATCCAAATTAAATCCCCTGAACAGTTACAAGAGGATCTGGAACTACTAGACTGTTGTTCTGAGTTTCATCCTTAGCCCCTTGGGACTAAGATTCACATCATAACAATAATGCGCCAATAATAAAGCAAATAACTGTGAATTCCTCGATGACAATATACAGCTGTTAGGCATGCTCTCATTTGCACAACTGGCAGACTAACACAATTTGAAAAACAGTTTGATGCATGGTAATGATGGACTGTTTCACTTAAAAGAATAGAACAGTAATAACTGCAGGTTGAAAATTTCAACAAATTATGCCACAAACATACTCTAAGCACCAAGGGAAAAGGCTAATAACACATATTGCATAAACATGAAACAGCATACACAAGTCAGCATATGCTAACAGAGAAATTTTGCTAGTTATGCATCAGATAATAGTGAAAGAACTATGTATTGCCAACCACTTATTCTATAAAAAGGCGGAACTATAATGAAAGAAAAGGGAGCTTATAAATTTTCACTCGGGACATTAGCATACCCTTGGACGCTCATAAGTGACATTACCATCTTCACCATCCCTAGGACTAGAAGGTGCTACCACTTGCTCCGTAGACATACTGTAAAACCAGTCAAAAGCAGGTATCAACACCAAAGTTAATGAACTTTTCTTAGCTAAAGCATACTACATAAAAGTATTCAGAAAAGGAGATCAAACAAGGAATAAATCACAAAGCATTATTGTGCGGCCACCTCCATCATATTCCAAGAAATATGGCTGATAGAAACAGAAAAATAGATAGCTCAAAACTTATAACCATGATAAGTAGCATAGGAAGGATTAACTAAATTTCAATAATAATAAACTTCGAGGAAATGCCTCTTCTCACATTTAAGCCTTTATATCAAATATCCCTTCTTAAGGGCAGTGCATTCATTATCACTGTAATAGCATTTCACAATAAAACAACCTCCGCCTATACGCCAATCTATATTGTATTATGCCTGGAGTTGGAAGTTCTAAAGTGTCAACCTGCATCAGGCAAACATTTCTAGCTACATGACCCGTTCTAACAGAGATATACATAGATCGCAAATCTTGGTGCAATTATAAGATTGTTCCACAGTAACCTAGCAATCACAAGTTCAAACCACAGAAGTAGCCTCCTAGTAAGGCTGCATGATATGACCTTAAACAAATCCCACTATAATGGAAGCCTTAAGCACTCAGATTGTAGATTTGACAAGAGTTTGCTTGTTTCAAGGTTAATTAGCATAATTAAATTTTAAAAAAAATGTAATTAAGAAAGATGAGAGAATATAAGCAAGAATGAACCACGTACCTTTTAAGACCAAGAATATTGACAAGAGAATCAAAACCAAATAATTCCAATTTGTGTTCACTTTCTGAGCCATGGACCTCTCCATTAGCAGGAATCCTCACTTGAGGTGCATTAGCATGCATGTCTTCAGGCACAACTAGTTTGACCTTCCTGTTATAGTAGATTATTGAATAAAATAAATCATCAGCATTATAAAATCAAATAAAAAGATGTCATGAACTAAATTGAGCCTATGGCCATCTACATGACAGGCTGAATTTAACAAAACATTCAAAAGTATAGAAAGACTGCAAGAGAGCTAACTTCAAAAGCTGCTCCACTCCACTGAACCAAGCCTAATTCAACTATAAACCAGCTTAAATAAAATTTTCAATTCTAAAAAGCAAAACTAGATTTGAATTCTCCATATTTTCTCCTGCAACCAAACCGAACATCCCTAGGATTGGAAACCGAGACAGACAGATAACCAGATGCAGACATATAAATATGCAGAGAGAGAACGGACTTACTTGCTGTTAGATGATTGTGTACCGGGAGAGGAGGAAGATCCAGGATCCATGGAGGACATTTCAAGCACAGCGCGATCGTGAGCAACGACAGGGCGGTATTTGCGACCATGCTGGCCTTGGAAGTCGTCTTCCATACCACCTTCAACATCTTCATTGTCCATTTTTGTTGTGTTTCTCTGTTGATTTGTCGCTGCTCAAGATCTATATTCCTTAGAAATATAGATCCAATTCAAAACCAAGAATGGAAGAAATGACGGATTGGAAATGGCCTGACCAGAGAGATCCCAGTTTGAGAATGAATTATATAAATTTTGTTTGTTTTTCCTTTTTTTTTTAATATAATATAAAAAATATGAAAATTACAGAGAGAAAAAGAGACGTGAGTTTGAAAAAGAGAAGAAACCCGGTTTCGATGTTGGTTCCTCCTTTTATATACAAACAAAAAGAGGGAAGATGGGGATGGATGAGATTAAAACGCGCCCGTACACTGCCGTTTTGAAAAGTATGGTTTTGAGGCGCGCTCTCAATTTCTTTTTCTTTAAGGAATATAATAATCGCGACGCAAAGATAGCGTGCCCGTAATTGCGCCATCCCGTAATTTCTTTAAGTTTAGTTTTTCACTTATTTTGTCAAAGAGAAAAGAAAAGAAAAAGAAAAATAGCTGTTTTATTTCCATAGGCTAATCATTATCTTAATAATTTTTAGGCTTTGTTTGGAAAGCACACGAAGGAAAATAATAAAAAATTATTAATTTTCTTTCCAGTCATTCTTCATCTCTATGCTTAGATATAATCAACGAAATAAAATAAATTTATTTTTTTTATTAAAAAAAATTATTATTATTGGAAAGAAAATTATGCATTCGCTTAAATAATAAAATATTCAAGAAAATATTAAAGCTTGTTAATTAGTTTTGGAGTACTTGAAGAATTTAGGATTCGTATGTTTCTGTAAACTTGTAGGAAAATATTTTTTATAATTTTTCATTGTTTAGGACGTTCAAAAAAATAAGTCAACAGAAAATATTGTTCTGGTCAAAGGAAAATTAAGTTATTTTTTTAAAGAAAACAACTTCTCATCATTAAGAGAGTAAAATATTTTCTCGAGATTAACAAACCTTACAAATTCATATTTTTTTTAATTTATTACTAATCATATTCACTACCACCAGTCAACATCTAACACCGATTACCACCACCGGCCACCACCATCGGTCACCGGCTACTTTCATAATTTAAATTTTTTTTTTTTTTGCATCTTTTCATATTTAACAATAAAATTTTTAAATTATAAATTTTCTATTATTATTTATATTTTTATGGCTCTTATGAGATAAAAACTTTAATATTTTTACCACCAGTCAACATCTAACACCGATTACCACCACCGGCCACCACCATCGGTCACACAGCTACTTTCATAATTAAATTTTTTTTTTTTTGCAATCTTTGTCATAATTTAACAAAAATTTTTATTAATAAAATTTATCTATTATTATTTATTAAAATTTTTAAATTATAAATTTTCTATTATTATTTATATTTTTATGGCTCTTATGAGATAAAAACTTTAATATTTTTAACTAATTTTTAATATTACAACGAAACAATGAAAAATAAATCATTTGAAAAATATTTTTTAACAAGTTGTTTTCCTGCAAGTTATCTTATAGAAACAAATAAAGCCTTAATAAAAATAATGAAATTTTCACTTTCCTCAATATTTTCTCCCTAAATTAAAGAGACTCAAATGAGCCGAATAAAAAATTAAAAAAAAAAAAGAAATTACGTCCCTCAATATTTTCCTCTTTTTTTCTGAATAACGGGAAATATATTTTTCTCAATATTAATATTTCGAGTTATTTTCCTTATTTCAGAAAAATACCTTATCCAAATATGGTGTTAATCTTTGTCTATATATCTATATATAAAAGTTGAGTTGTACAGTTAACCGCCAAGTATAAGTGATAACAACTCACCATATCATCAAAATCAAAACATTAATACCAATTGCAGGTAAATCAGAGACTCAAATTTTAGTGTTTGGAGAAATAACTTTTTTTTTAATAAAATACTACGTCAGAGTATATTATTAATATAAAAAAAGCTACTAAACAAAAAAAAAAAGCCATTCAATGACCAATAAGTTTCTGAGGTTGATCACCACTTAATTATTTAATCCTTTTATCTAAAAAGTGTCATTCAAAAAATATATTTTTGCTGTTAATTTTTTTTAATGAAAATACCAGAGTTAATGCGAGCTCATTCTTTAGCCTGAGTTGCTACTCCTATCGTATTGAAGTGGAGTAGTGTTAAATTTTTTTAAAATGCATAGGATAATATAATTTTTTTACTTAGTCAAAGAGTAATTTTAAATTAAAGATAGTCAACTAAATAATACTCCTTTCGTTCTTTTATATAGACACAACTAATTTTTCATTAAGATTTAGAAAATAGTTTGACCAACTTTTTTTGTAATTTTTTTCCTAATTTACCCCTAATATATCATTTATTTTTCCTTTAATATCAATACATGTCTTAAATTATGTTTCAATATTTGATGAAGTTTTAAATGCTTTGTTAGAATGAATGAAATACAAACATTTGCAAAAAATGAAGTTTATACTATAACATGTGGAGAGAAATTCATTTTTTGTCCTTTATTTAGGAAAATCGTGTTAAAATATGAAAATTTATGTTCATTTAACCTTCTAATTGCCTTTAATTATTGAAAACGTATTTTAAATATTGTATAATTTTTTAAATTTTCAGCGAAATCCATAAAAAATCCTCTCAATGTGTCCAACTTGATAATTTTTTATGCTCTTTGTCTATTCAAACTTCATCAGTGCTCATATAACCTATACGAGCACATTTTTTTTTTTACAATGAAAATTGATGTAAAAAATCCATTCATCAAAATTCATTCACATTAAATGCTCATTTATACTTTTGCCTACTACTATTTTGAGAATCTACCATACTAAAAACTTCACAAAGGACTAAAATAAGTGTAAGATAGACTTTTCATATTGGCATGATTTCTAAAGTTAACAAATTAGACAAAATTTTCAATATAAAAAGAACACCCAAAATATAAACTTCTTCTATATAAAAAAACGGAGGAAGTATCAAATTGTAAGAAGCATTTTAACGTATAAGTAAAATTAAATATTATTTTACTTTTTACTTTCTATTTAAAAATCAAACACCCTCTAAATTCCGTTACATTCCTAATCCTTCAAATTTAAAATCAATTTTGTGTTTTCTATTTAATTTACAATTAGATGAATACTCCATTTCCAATGCTACATTAATATTTGTGTTTGGTGCAATGTAAGTAACGTTGGAAACTTCTATTAGGCCGAGAAATAGCGTTCAAAGTTGACTTTCAAGGCAGAGAGGCCATAGCCTAAACTGAAGTCTCCAATTTGGCACAAGTCCATGACCAGACTTGTCAAAATATTGCAGCTTTGCACAATTTTGCAAGAACAAAGGCATCTAGACCCTCTTCATAAGGCCACCATCCCTAAACCTAAAGACAAGTTGCTCTTGCTCAGCTGGCCTTTTAGAGAACTAGTATTCCTCTAGTTCTCCACTTTTTTTTCTCTTTATAATAGTTTCAAATTTTCTGTTATCGAACAAAGCAAAAATAGCAAGGAATTCATATAACCGACTCCACCTAATTTGAAATAAACGCCGTGCTAGGCGACAATTAGTGTTCAGTAACGTATCATTTGAATTAGTTTTTAAAGGTTAACTTGTATTGTTGAACAGTTAATATTCAAACATCTAAAAACGCTACTGAAATAGTTAAAAGCTACAAAAACAATTAATATTGCAGACTAAATTATTAATTATCATTGTTGTATAGTAATTTCAAATTTTAAAACTTTCATGTTTTTTTCTAAAGAAAATTCCATATGGATGTAATGTAGCCATGTAGAAGAAAGCAGGATGTAAGTTCATGAATTAAAAATCTGCAAAAAAAAAAAAAAAAAAAAAAAAAAAAAAAAAAAAACCATATGGACGTAATGTAGCCATGTAGAAAAGAAAGCAAGGATGTAAGTTTCATGAATTAATAAATCTGCAAAAAAAAAAAAAAAAAAAAAAAAACAAAAAAAAGAAGTGGCAGTTTCACAACAACTGTTAATGACTAACAAAAACATAAATCACATTTGCTTTCTCATTTTTTTTTAGTAAATTTAAAACATCTTAACTTCTATATTTAATATCATGAACCGGTACATTGGACCAAATTGCTAAGACATTTGAGTGAATATGGGTCAAAAGAAAAAAAAAAAAAAAAAAAAAAAAAAAAAAAAAAAAAGAAGATGGCAGTTCACATCATGTTATGACTAACAAAACATAATCACATTTTTGCTTTCTCATTTTTTTAGTAAATTTAAACATCTAACTTCCTATATTATATCATGAACCGGTACATTGGACCAAATTGCTAGACATTTGAGTTGAATATGTGCAAAAGATTGATAAAAATATACATGAAATGATTATATCCAGAGCAAATGATGCTTTGCCCTGACCAGAGGCGGAGCTTAATGGAGACCCAAGGCCAAGGGGTCCGAGCCACCCTAAGAAATTTTTCTGTGCAAAATTACATTCTAATCCTTATATTAGAGAAAAATTACATTTAACCCTGAAAAAACTGTAAAAAATTTTATTTGGCTCCTCCAAAATAATTGTCACGACAACGTTTGATGTCCTAGACTCCTATATAAAACACATATTATGGCAAAACATAAAAGGAAATGGTTATAATGAGAAACTGTTCATTGATAATGCTACAAGAACTACAAATTACAGCTTTTGCTTCCATCTCCATACAAGGCAGAAACTACAAAAACTAAATTAAATTACAGCAACACTAAAGTGAAAAGCATTAAACAAACAATGAAGTGGAACTTCAGTTTTTGAACTAACCATCAGTAAGTACAATTAATAACAATTACAATTTGATATGGAAAAAGAAACAAGGCAAAAAGAGAAATAAAATTAAAGAATTTTTGTCTCACTCTTCATGAGACAAGCTCTTCTTGTGCTTTCCATGCCTTACTTTAGGCTTCTCATTCTTGACACTGCCATTGTTCTGGTTGCTAACAGAACCCTCTTGAGCACTGCACATCTGGGACTTTATCTTAAACCCGAATTTCTTAGACACGTTTCCCCAAGCACTAGAACCCTTCGGCCGACCCAACTTCTCAATCTCCTGCCTCATGTTAGAACATTCCTTCTCAAGCTCAGAAACTCGCATCCTCATATTGTCCATCCCAACCTTCAAAACCTGATTCTCTCTTACAGCTGTGGCCCAGCCTCCCTCAGCAGACCCAGCAAAGCCACTTCTCAGCTGTCTTGACCCGTCAAGATTGTCGGAAACCAGAAAGCAGCCAGCAATAGAAGTCCTGAGCTGAAGCTGCTCAAAGAAGAGAACTTGGACCACTATTCTTAGTGGCAGCCTCTCGTTCTGCGCAGCATGAGTGCAGGCTTCCAAGGAGAGCTTCTGGCAGTCCATTAGCCTGCAAAGCTGTTCTCTGTCGGACTCTGCCAACCATGGGTGTGACTGCAAGTAGACAATCATATTAAATATTAGAAATCTTGTAGAACAATTACCATAGGCAATGCTCAACTGTAACCCAAACAAACCAAATCAAAATCATAAACATAATGAGGCGAGCAAACAGACAGCCTTCAGCTCAAATGCCATTATAGTTAGTTCTCATCTTAATGTGCATGTAAAATTTATTTTATTTTAGATGCCAAATGGAACCAACATAGAACAGGAACTAGTTTCATAAGTTATCCATTCACAGGATGCATGTGATAACGAGCTAGTTTGTACCTTCAGGTAAATGTCTATTGCACGATAAAGGCCATCATCCAAGGGCCTGGCATAATCAGGAACTGCGGCAGCAAGAGCCTGAAACTTGGGGAGTTTCAAATTCACATCAGGGGCAACCTCTGCGAGGTATCCATCAATCAGTTTGGCCACCATTGTGATTGGTGTTAATGATGGGGATCCAATCAGCTGTCCATCATCAACCGAACATGGAGAGGTCCCACCAGTAGTTTGATCCATGGCAAGGAAGTGTTCAAGAATCCTCTGGACACAGTCAACATTGTAAAGTGTCTCCATTGAATAAGAGAAATTGGGCATCAAAAGATCTTCTAGCGTAGCTTGATCAAGCTGCAACCCAATCCTTTTCTCCAAGTTTGATATACAAGACGGGCTTGCTTTTAGGATCAAGGCTGTCCGAAGTAGACCAAACAGGAACTTGGTTGATACTAGACCCTTCTGCATTGGAAGTAACCTATCAATATCTTCTAGTAAAACTTTCTGCTCTTCTTCTGAAGGTGGAGCTAAAGCCACAGGAATTAGACGGGAACTAGACTCACTGGCACCTTGACGTCTGTTCAACCCAGGCAGGTATTTTTTGGCATAGAAAGCAAGGGATCCAGCAATTATCTCTTGCCTGATGCCACGAGATTCCATGATGGAAATCAACCTCTTATATAGTGGTAAACTCAGCATTGATACATCCTCGTACCACCAATCTGAACTTGCATTTTTGGGTCTAGCCCCTGTGCTTATCCCATTCCACAAGACACTCCCCCCGGGGCTCTGCATGGGTCCATGCTCCATTACGGGCCATCCAAATACATTTGGGTCAGTACATGCTTTTGTGGCTAGTGATTCAATACACCTCTTTGTAATTTGAAGTTCTTCAGCATAGGGAAGAATATCATCACAGGTTTGGAGTGCCTTTAAAGAGTCTTTCCAATTACGAAGCACTACTTGATTAAGAAAGGACTCCGTCTGTGTAATTAGATTTGCCTCTCCATAATCCTCAGTCATTTCAAGATGCTCAGCAGCACAACGGAGGTACACAACATTTGAGGAAGTAAGTTCAAGTTTCACACCATAACAGAACTTGGCCACAAGTTCAAATGTTTTGGCCCCACCAGGAATGTCAGGAAGATTTATTACACATTTCTCATCTTCTTCTTCCGATGCTTCTGCAATCAACCTTTCCATTAGCCCACTTCTAGAGAGCAAAGGGAACTGCATTAAATTACAATATGAACATGTAAGAAATGATAAATTATAAAGAGTTCTCTAACAGCCAAAATGACATTCCCAATCCACCATTACATATAAAAAGATCCTCACTAAAACCCACAGTAACACAGCAGAGATATAATTCAGAAACAATTTTTTAATACCTCTTAATGCGTAAGGTATACTAGAAAAGGCATAGAGAACCAGAAACAAAGGATAACACACCAGAGTGCTAATTTTTAATCAGTATGAAGAGATAGTTCAATGAGGAAGCCCCACCTTAGAAGAAGCAAGTAGACCTGACCCTAAGCTAAGCCTGACAGATACCGCCTTGAGTTAAATAACTCATGTCCTAGTCCAACAGGAATAAGGTGAGGTACTTGCACTGCCTAAATCATTCATTTTTACATTATACTTAAGAGACACTTCAATCCAACAGCTTTCCAGAATCCAGACACTTCTCCAAATATTTGATTATCACAATACAGTAAAAAAACTGATAAACATGTCATACCTAAGCTATCTAAGCATACATATTCTTAGTTTAAACTAAAATCTTAGTTATGAGCCAACTAGAGGATAGATATAAGGACTATAAGGGTGCTATCAATAACATGGTTCGTTATATAGCACAGTTTCCTTTTTATGGTATATTCATTCAGAAAAGCATGCTCCATGATTAGTTGTTAATAGGATAACAACCATAGGACTGCAGCCACCAGATGTATTGGCATGGCAGATAAATACTGAGTATTACAAAGACAGATGACTTGGCATCCATCTGAATAAATAAAAGAAAGTAAAATATCAAGCAAAAGATTTCCCTCGGGAAAAATACAAGTCGTCTACAACTCAAGCTCAATTATAATGCAAACAAGAAAGAAAGTATTTGAGTATAACTTATACGATGATGAAGCCAAAAACACACAAAAACAAACTATCTCATTTCAACTCATAAGAAATTGACTACAAGGTTTACCATAGAAAGAGAGATTGAGAAAGGAAAGAAGACCAAAGGCATCACAAGTTACACCATTTCACAATAGCTTAATGGAAAATTAACAGGTAATATTCCATCCAACCCAAACTGTTAAGACTTGCCATTTTGGGAACTACCAAAAGATCAAGAAATATTCACTACTTCTGAAGATAAAAGAAAATGCAGTTTTTTTAGCAAAGTTCTATACATTTTCACAATCAATAAGCACAAACAATATCATTATAATTCAATTTTAATTGACACGGTAATCAGAATGAAAGATTATAAGCAACAGTGTGAATCATTTATATACCCATTGAGTCCCTCAATCTCATAATAAAAGGAGTCAAATATTATCATATGGCAGAGTGACTTATATAAAATTTATATATGATCAAGGAAATTTCCATGAAAGCTTCCAAATGGGGAAGAATGTAATATTGAAGATGGCAAAAAGCAAAATTACCTTGTGAAGATGGAAGGACATCTCCCCAACTTCCACAACAATATCACTAGGAAGCCCAGTTGTGCAGAACCTGCACTCGTTGTATGTGAATGGAAGGTCAATTAAGCCAAATCACACAGACTAGAGATATTTAATGCATACGCAATTGGATGCAGTACAAAAACCTAGGCACATCCTTATTCTTAAATGAAACTTATACAAAAGAAACCATGGCCAGAAAGTAATTAAGTAAATGAATCTTACATGCTACTTCGAAGTTTTTAATACTAAAGCATATTGAGTCTTCCTTAAAAACCAGTTTTAGTTGCTCTTAATTAACAGATATGTAATATGCTTTTCAGCAGTAGCACAATATCAATGCCAAACACACCCTTGGAACTTTTTCTCTCAGTACTTATGTCTGATATACATATAAATCAAAACCCAAACAAATGTTCCTTCAATTGTTGGAAGTCTAATGCAAGCATAGGCATAGCACAAAATGTAACATAACAACTAGCGCAACCCACAAAATTGAACCAACCTATTAACATTTCATGATAGTTTTAAAGACAATATCTGTCTTTCACCCAATAATAGTGTACTCGATGCATCATTAAGGAGCATTCTTTAGGTCGGTGGTGAAGGAGGAAACGTCAACTGAAGCTTCATGCTCCGTAAAACAAAATTAAAATCTGTAATACAGATCTTTTACAACTTGGTTAGTGCTGAAGTTGCACTGCCAATAATTCCTCTTTCCCTGAAATGTTTTACATATGATTAAGATAGCAAGTTTAAGACCCAAGTGTGTACTACCAGTGTGGAATTTCCTACAGGTCAATGTAACCACATGCATCCATACAAGTAAATCTACATATATGTATACACCTATAGAAAAACCCTGCACCCATGAAGCAGCAGGATCTTCCACATGATATAATGGTGAAACCACAGATAATAAATCAAAAGAAACATCAAGCAAGCTACTTTTATTCAGATAAGCAAGTTGATTAGCCAGCAAGGTTATTGAAACTTGAAACTCAACAACCTGTTGCAGCAATCAGGACCGAGAACCAACAATTTAGAGAGTACAGGGAGCATTAGAAGTGATTGATACTCTATTACCAGGTCTAACAATCTCAATCTAAATAAGCATTTCTCTGCTATGCTATTTCAACAACCAGTGGCAAAAGTTCAAAGACCATTTACTTTATACCACTTGGTCAGTTCAGCTCTAATTTTCAATAGTGTTACTTTCACTAGAGGAATCCCTAAGCAACTTAACAAACTAAATACTCTAATTTACCAGACAATTACCGTTACACCAGACATTTTATTTTAAACCACCACTTATAACAATTTTCATCAACATAGACATTGATGTATGAATCCTTAAGCAACTCCACATCTGAACTAAGGTCCCCTTAATAAAAACGTCTTACCTGGAGGGGAAAAAGGCTAAAGATACAGTGAAGGTGAATTTATACATCACACAAAGTTCAAGTTTTTGAGAATTTATACATCACTTTCACTGTCAGGTAAAAGTCAATTCTATTTTGGATCGCCATTGAAGCATGCAGATGTTTAACTTCGCTGAATAAACATATAGGAACTCATGCAGAAGAATGATATCCGACAACTTTAACTAGACTTAATTACGAAACCAATTTGTGGCAAGAAGATAGGATGAGTGAATAGGAATTAGGAAGATCCAAGTTTTAAAAAAAATAACAAAAGTGAGAAAAAGCTGAAGAAAACAGAAATTATAGAAAATACTAAATAAGAAGAGAAGAGGGTTACATACCAGGCCTGCCCTTGCCTTTGAAATGCATCGCTTTTAGATCCCAATTTCATGCAAGCCATTTTTACAAGAGTAAAAGCAACTAAATCTTAGAGAATCAAACTCCTTACACAGGTAAGCTAATGCAGAGCTTAAAGAAAACCTCCTTAAAACTTATAATCACAGGAAAAGCCAGAAAAGAACAAACCAAATAAACTTTTTCTTTAAAAGCAACAGAACAGTGCCCCTATTTCAAGCCAAAAAATAAAACGCAGAATCGCAGTGGTGATTTTTATCCTCAATTAATCACCATTCTAAAATCAAAACCCTCTTTATATTTCTCAAAAAACCAATCTTGAACTCCTCAAAGCCAAAATGCATCTCCTTAATTAATCTGCAGAAAGACCCTCATACCCACTTCAAAAACCACTCCATTTAGACATACCCACTTCATAAAAGATCAAAACCCACAAAAATCACATAACCAGAACTCTGTCCAAAAAACAAACACCAATTTTAGGTCAACCCCTTCAAATTTTGGTGTCTGAGAAAACAAAATATTACTATTTTAGCAGGACAAAACCCACCAACAAGATTCCAAAAAAGAACCCACGAGAGACACAAGGGACCAAAAACACTCAATACCCATTAAAGAAAAAGAACAACTGAGTCGCTAAGTAGGCTCCTCCTACTACTCCTATAATTTATACCCACAAAAGAGATAATAATGGTCGCCAAAGCCATTATATATACAATACCAAAAAGGCTTCAAATTCTTATAAACATGAAGGGTATTAATGATCGCCTAGAAAGTACTCTCTTTCTCACACTTGTGGGTCCAAATGGCTTAAAACACACTCATTGCAGTTCTGAAACTTATTGGGTGTAGGGAATCTTTAAAATCTTTAAACAGTAGTTATTAGAATTGACCAAAGAAGGAGAAGCATCATCAAGCATGGATTCTTGGATTTATTAAAGGAATTTTTATTTAAAATGATTGGTGACCTTTGAGGTTACTGATATCTGCTTTGTCCAGCTAGGCCATGTGCATGCGTTACTTTGAGCTTTGATTGCCATAGTTTACGAGGATTTCTCCGTGTGGATAATTAATTAATAAATAAATAAATGAATTAAGTATTTTATTATTTTGCAATTTAATTTTATGTCCCATGCATTATTTGGGACCAGACCAGACCCTATCTTGTCGGTTTCAAATTTTGCTTTTCTTAAAAAATAGTTTTTTGTTGGGATTGAAATGTTGTTATGGAGTCAATTACAAGTCTTTTACCCTCTTCCATTTTGCAATTATCTTATTTTATTTTCCTTCTTTTCTTTTTTTTTTTTTTCCTTTTTGAGAAGAATGTTATTCATTAATCAAATTTGCAAATCATTAAATATAAGAGCTTCAATATTTTGGAAAGCTGATACGAAATTTGAAGACTAGCCAAAAAAAAACAAGCCAACGGTCAAAGGGTGTACTGTTTTGTTAATTTATCTCCTAACTCAATTAATTGTGATATTGTTATAAAAATATGTCTTAATTTATTTTCTTACTTCTTATAGAAGGATGTGAAATTATTAAATACAACTAAAGTCAAAATGATCAATTTTTTAAAAGAATATATTTTTCGATAAAAATATTTTTTTAAAAATATATTTTCTTAAATAGTAAATTGCTCACTTGCTTCTAAGAAAATTGAATTGATAATACAAATCAAATAAAATATTTTATTCACTTTTTGAGAAGTTTCTTTTCTCTAATTTATTTACTTCCAATTAAACAAGATCTAAAGTTTCAAATCTGATTTCCATCGTAAATTAAAGTTGTATTTGAGATGATTGACAATCAACTGTTTAAAATTTAATATTTAAGCGTTTAATAAAATACTTATTAACATTCTAAATTAAAATTTTATTTATGTATTTTTATTGGAACTTAATGCTGGATTTAATATAAATGCATTGAGAATATGAAATTCAATATTTGAAAGAATATAATTTTCAACATCAACTTTAAAGTAAATTTATAATTTTCGGTTTTAGTTATTTGCTTGAAATTAAAAAAGAAAAACCAATTACATATAATTTACTATAAATTTTTGCATTTAAAATTTACATCTTCAATTTTTAACATTTATTTTTATTGAAGATGGAAATGAAACAAGATTTCCAATTTCCATTTATAATACAGTTATTTCCATTTTTACAATGTGTTGCATATTCTTTTACTCGTTAATACTTATTGTTTGTATTTATTATTTTTATATATAGTATTAATTATTTATTATAATTGTTATTTTATACAGTATAGATAAATTCAAAATATATAATTCATTTATAAATGGCAATTGTATTGATTTCCAGAAAGAAATGGTTAGTGAAAGTAAAATAAAATATTTTATTTTATTCATATCAAATACAAAAATAGAAAATATAAATAAATTTCATAAAATTTTTTGAAAATTATTTATGCCAAAAATAATTTTTAAAAAAGACAAAGATTTGTCTAATCAATAAGTGATAAGTCTTATTTTCTCTCACGCGTCACTACTTTTCTTACATGACAAGTTGGGATGTAAGTAAAGAGAGGTGGGAATTCCATAGCAATATTAAATGATAAAATAACATTTTATAATATTATTTAAAAATAAAAAAATTATATAATAAAATCATTATGAAATGTATTATAAAATTATATACCGTCGAGATATGTTAAAAAAATTGTAATAATAAGATGTGTCTTTTTTAAGTATCTACGAAATTTTTCATCAAGGTATGCATTAGCAAATAAGCCATGCACACTATTAATATATTTTTTAATAGTGATAATAATTTTAAGAATTTAATTAATTATATTGAAATAAAAAATTAAGTATTTTTTATTGTATATTTAAGATTAATTATAAATAATTATTTATTTATTTAAAATAGTATCTACGAATGTGTTTCATCAGAGGTAATGCATTAGCAATATGCCATGCAACAACTATGTAATAATATTTTTTAAATAGTGATGAATAATTAATAATAGAATTAATTTTAATTATATGAAATAAAAAATTAAGTAATTTTTTATTGTATATTTAAGGATTAATTATAATAATTATTTATTGTATTGAAATAAAAAATTAAGTATTTTTTATTGTATATTTAAGATTAATTATAAATAATTATTTATTTATTTAAAATATTAATATATTATATTTATTTAGTGCAGTGTGTCATGCACGTGTAGATATTCTACTTTTTTTTTTTTAAATTGTTGTATTTCATACGTTTCCATATCTCCTTATATCTCATGTCCGTGCAACTTAACTCTTAGTGTATGAAATTACTCTATACACTAGGCTAATCAATCAAAATTTTTTTTATTATTATTAAGAAAAAAATGAAGTGTTTCTTGTTTATTCAATTTGCATTGCCTGGGTTATATGTATTCTAATATAATTTAATTTAATGACATTATCTTTATCTTGATGGAATGTAACTAACATATATTATCTTGATATAGATATTATCTAAAAATATAAACCGACTATCTCCTTACAATTATGCTAAATAATGGTTATCCTTACACTTGTCTGTAATATAAGACAAACTGCTCTGCTTTTATAAATTATATGGATATAGATTATACCTTAACTTAATAGTTACCTATCATCCATTCACCTTTTCAAAGTGAAATTAAAATTAATTTAAAGCTCTCTTTCTCTTTGTATCTAAGGAGGTTCATTTTATTTTATTTTATTTCTTTAAGGAAGAAGGTTCATTTTATTTAAAAAAAAAAAAAAAAAGAAAATATAATAAGTATTTAAGAATGCAGATAATACATAAACTCAAAGTCTACCTACTTAGTCTAATAAAAACAAATTTATTTACTACATTAAAATTCCAACTCTAGTTAATAAAAGACTGATAGTAAATTTATCAACTGTATTACTGGACTTGCCACATATATAATATTTGGTGATAATTTGTAACTAACGGTTAGTACTAATTGTATAATCTGATAAATGTTGGTTGACTGATAAAATTTTGTTTCATATTCATCATAAAGTTTTCTATTTGGAAAATTGAAAAATACGTTTCCAAAGTTTCCAAAATTTAACTAAGGTTCAAAATTTAACTAAGGTTTAGAAACAAGTTTTAAGTTGTTTTCCATAATATTTTTTTATAATAAAAGACATATTTTTCAACTATTTTTAATTTTATAAATTGTCATTTTCATAATTGACGTTATAATATCTGCAAATAATTTTTTCTATAAATATTTCTATTGAATAAATAAAAATATTTAAATAACATAAAAAAAATCATATTATGCTTTAATATATAATTAATTTTATTATTGTAGATATATTATATCCTTTATTTTTAAAAAATTATACAAAATAATAAAATTTGATATTATTATTATTTTAAATAATCGATAATAAAAATTTAGAAATTTTAAATAAAAATTTCTAAAGTTAGTTTATAATATTTTATTTTAATTATGAAAATTATGAATAATGTTTGTGAAATTTTTAAATTAAAATATAATTTAATATTTTATTTTAATTAGATGAAAATTATGAAATTGTTTTTGGTGGTTTATAATATTTTATTTTAATTATGAAAATTATGAATAATGTTTGTGAAATTTTTAAATTAAAATATAATTTTTATATTGTTACCAAGTAAACGAATTTTTCATTTTTTGTTTTCAAATTTTTATTTTCCAAAAAAACTGTTTTCTATAAATAAATACACCCTTAATTTTTATCTGTCGTTTTGAAGAAGAAGTTTCATTCTATATCATTTTGCTAAGATTAATGAGTACTATTTTTTTTTTCAGTTCTACTATTGTCTTACAGAAGACAATAGTTATTGTATTTAATTTTCTAAAAACCTACCTTATCATCTTTTCTTTCTTAATTTCAGTAATAGATTAAATGAAAAAATAATTATTAATATTTGACTAATTAGGCGAAATAAAAAATAATTTAATTAATTAATAAATTATTTATTATAGTTAAGTTGAATTGCTTTTTAACATATCACGTAAAAACTTTAAACCGCAGATAAAACATGCACCGAGGAAATAATATCTTTTGTGTTTTTGAAACACCCTTTTTCTTTTTTTTTTTTTTTTTTGTTTACTCTTGTTTGCTGTTGTGAAAGTATTCAATGTCTTGTCTCATGGTGCCAAGGTCACAATCTATTGTAATTTTTTTCAGCCTAAAAAGAAAAGAATGTACCCGTTCTGATTTAATATATATTTTCAATTTTAATGGGTGGAATATTTAATTAATTTGGTGAATTGGAACAGATAATGAGATGCCTTTTTTTTTTTTTCCTTTTTTTTTTTTTTTTAGCAATTCAATGCTAAAAAATTATCACCATAAAGTGTGTGTTTCTATTGAGTTAGCATTAAATTGGCATTATAAAATGTTTGAAGATGAATATCGTTTCAATTATAGGTTGTGGCCCATGTAGAACATTCTGTTTAAACTCCCCCCTCGCCTTTCAATGCTATTCTCTCTATTTGTCAATATGTAACATTACTCCCCTCTCTTTTCAATGCTATTGTAATGGGATGGCAATGGATCGGGTACCCGTGTAAATTGTACCATCTGAATTCGAATCCGAAAAATTAGGTATCTGAATCCGTCCCAAATCTGTTTAAACATTCATATTTATTACCCGAATTTGTTCAAAACCTAATTCTAATTATCTATTTAGCATTAAAAATTTTTTTTTTAATTTTTTTAAATAAAAATAAGTAAAAATTATAAAATTATTTATTTTGACTTAATAAAAAATATAATATCAATATTAAATAATTACAGCACACTTATAATTAAAAAAGTGTATATATATAATTTATTATTCAAAAAATAATTATTTTAAATATTTTTGAATAT